ATAGGCTTCGTACATTACATATGTTAGCGACATCGTCATACTTATCAAAGATCGGGAAGGGGTGATGTGCCCTTGGTCCATCTACCACCATGTGTTGAACAAGTTGAAAGCACGTTGAAAGAGATCCTCTACGACTAACTGGCATGCTCAAAACTAATAGACATTATTGAGACCGAGCCAACCCCTTCGAGTGCCTGTACTCTAGAATCCAAAAGGTCAGGCGCTGAGGAAAACTAAATGTTCACATCTTTCCGCAGCCCCACAACCCAGGCAAACAAACTCCGAACATGATTGCGCGTGCGCGACCTGGCAGCTCGATTGGTAATGACAAGCCTCTGAGGCCTGACGGACGCGAAATATTTAATCACTACTATTTACGGCCAATCGCGAGAGTTCACCAGAGCGATGTAGTTCAAAGGTACGATATTTATAGCTTTTCACTAATGACTCGGTGATTTCAAATACAATGGCTTAGATGTGCCTTCCGCAAGCCAACAAAAATCCTACTCGTGACTGCCTGGCTCAGAATGGCGCTCTCACGAAGGGTATTCTAAAACCGGGCCATCAAAAATCAGTGTTGGCGTTGGACCCCTTGGTCACCAGGCCATCAATAGTATGTAGCAATGGAGTAAGCAGTGAAGGAGGCTACAATCAAACGCTTGCGCTCATCAGGTTCCAATGACAACAGTGATTCAGGGTACTCTTGGGGCTGTCCTAACCTTCTAGATTTTCCGCAGATTAGTAGCAGAATAGCGTAATCGAGTGCAAAGCAAAAAGCAGACTACATGCTCCAAATGTGATTTTATTATCCTCGGAGTTGCGCAGTTTTACCCTCCAAATCGTTCAGCTGTAGCACCCTTTCGGTGCCTAACTGCCATGCCACCCAAAGGAAGCACGAGGGTTGGGATACTGCCAGGTTGCCCAAGCCTAGACAGGGGAAGTCGAGTGGCAGAGGTCGGGTTCGAACCACGGACCTTCCGGTCTGTAAATTCGCGCTCTAACCACTTGGGCCATCTCGCCCCTCCAAATCGGCCAGTGACTAGTACTTGAAACAAACACTTAAGTCTGCGAACGCCATGAGTCACCATGAGACAGTTATTTGGAAGTTGTTTGCCTGATCTGGTTTTGTTTGGCAAATTAACGTCCACTAAATGTGGAAAATTTGTTCAGAACCGGGTCACCAACATACAGTGCGAAATCAGACCTCACTGCCTCAACACAAAACGCAGTTCACATGCCGCCATTACACGATCTTGTACTCAGAACAAGGGTATGAAAGTCCCTCCTTGTCCGTCCAGCGGCTGGAAGCATTGTCGCGGTTAAATGAGCGGATACTACGGCTTCTTCTTCGCTTGCAGGTCTCGATGTCAATTTCAAGTGCGCTAGTTGGTGCCATCCCGTATGAACTCACTCACAATGAAACGCTCAGACATAGAAGTCTTGGTAGTAAGCATGTAGAAAATCGACAGCTAATAGCCACCTAGTTGGTGGAATGTCCCATGAGGTAAGGACTTTCAATCATAGTTCCAGAGTACCCCTGGCCGAAACAACTGGAGAACCTGGATAAGTGAATTTGAGCTGTTTGGGGTGGACTACATCTAGCGCATCGCCGAACAATCGTTTTATAACTTAACCATTACGGGTTGAGTGGTACAGACCTGGAATAGCCAACGTTCCCGCTACCTGCGATTCCAATTAGAGCTGCTCGTAAACGTCTCCAAATACCTTTAAGCCCTTGGGCTTGATGGAGTCAGTCTACATCTTGCTCTATACTTACGCTCAAACCATACCTCAACTCTACCATCTTTTCTTCTTAGTCATTAAGCTCCCCTCTTCGTGGCTCTTCATAAAACCTAAAAAAAACTGCCACCACACCCACATAATCCCTACTTTGTGGTCATGGTCACAGTTCCGGCATAACCTGATTGACAATAGCTCTCCAAGCGACTACCAGTAACGGGTGCCACCATCCTGGTAAGTGGTGATACATGCTGCGCTAAACTTGACTCGTTCAGCAAAGAACTATTAAAATCTGATGTCTCATCTGCTTCCAGACACGTGTGGTACACCGATCTGATTGTCAGATTGCCAAAAGCTGTAGTTGATGAACCGGAAATTCCATGAGAAACTGCTTCACTCAGGTGTACCTTGGCAAAATTTTCCGATTAACAGGATTCATCCCACTCATCGTCTCCAACCCTCCTCTTGTTTAGCAGCGATCTTATTTTGTCTGTATCCGGTTGCATACACGCTCATGCAAGTGATGGAACACCCGATATTTCTAATACTCACCCTTCTCAAGTCTTCTTCATCTCGGCTTGATAACTACGTGCACGCCAATGGCACACTGAACGCCGACTTTGAATTGGGAATCAGGCCTACATGAACGCAACCATACCTAATCCTACCGAACTTAACGTGTTTCCCTCCACCAACCCCTCTTACCTGACTCTACCCCTATCCTTGTCATCAAATTGTTAGCTCTTTGATCTGTTCTTTTTTAACAGTCTCAACCGCTTGTTCTATCTTAACTGACTATAACCAGATATCTCAGAAAATTATAACTAAGTCTTCTGCTTCCCATTTACTCAGTTGCGCAAGCCTCGGATCTGTCCTACTACAGAACACCCATGCCGTACATGGGGTGGTATCTTTTACACACTTGCTTCCAGATGGTACTCAACGGGTCTAACTGGGTTGCAAGCTGAGACTCCCTCTCACCATCAGGACGAGGCTCTTTCTCGCTATATTGTCACTACTGCTATGGTAAAGGTCGATTGAACTTGCTTTTCTCGTCCCATTCCCTTAACCTTTCAATCAACTGAATCACGTACTACCTTGGTAGCCCACATCCGGTTTCAATTCCCTTGTATGTTTTCCAGGACTACTGGCCTTTAGAACCCTTCCCCACCTTTTTCTGTGAGTCCTTTTAATCTTCAAACTCTCCAGACGAGGACTAACGTCCGTCTGTCCAGGCCAATTTGATGCCCACTTTTCCTACCCACGGTCCGTGACCATGGACCCTCCGTTCCCCGGGTAAATCATTCATGTGAGTAACGAAAAACCCAAACATTGTAGCCATTACATCTACATTGCCGGGGAAGAAGAGGTGCTAAAATGCTAGTGTGTGGTGTGTCACAGTAGGCAAAGAACTACGCAATACCACGCATTATATTGCCAATTCCGTTGAGAGTAGGGTGCACATACCCTCGGATTTCGCCCCTACATTTCCAAACACGCTGTGTGTGCGACTGCGAGCCAATGCCATTAACCAACGGTTTAGGTGCAAAGCAGTCCCATAAACCACTGACTCGCCTGGTCAAAGAACTTTGTACGAATAATAAGAGCTACGCACCCTTGGACATGAGTGGGGTTAGCAGACACTCGTGACGCTTCTGACGTTGGTCCAACAACCCATCGCCTTTCGGTCCTTATCCGCCAATGGTACCCCAGCATAAAAAGCGCAGGATCACCAAGCCTTCAGAATGGTGCAGTATCACGCCTCGCACTTCCGAAGGGTTGGACATCGGAAGCAGCTGAACTGATCGGCACTAGAATTGCACCCAATGGGTACGAACGGATAACGTCAACAACAGAAATCCAGCTGGAGGCCGACCAGCTAGGGAAAAGAGAACCAGTTGTCAGGTTGAACGCCGAGTGGAGTGTGGGTGCTTTTAGTTCAACGTCCAACGCTGGCAAATTTCCGGTTTGTAAACATCGTGCAGTCTGCAGTAAAGACAACCATTGGTGCACCCCTACGTCCTACTCCGCTCTCAAACAACGCACTGATGGTGTCACTCTGATTGGTGATTAGACGTCTGCAACCGAACGGCTCACCTCAACTAACAAATAAACAACCATCTACAAACATTCTCTTCAACAACATACAACAGGATTGTCCAGCTCATTATGGACATTGCGACCGATCCTCAATATCTAAGTCGCACTTACAAGCTCATAGACATTCCGCTGCCAAATCATGTGCCAACCTGAGGGGAGACTTAACAACCTCTTACGGCCTCTACAGATCTGCCCATCAACGGTAACCCTACATGACTGATGAGAGTGCGTCAAAACAGGCATTAATTGACTGATTTGAGATCGGCGAGTCGGCACTGTTGTACAAACTTCCGGACCCTTAGTAGACCAACCAACCCGTCATTGGACCGAGATACCGATCCCCTCCATTTGATCATTCTGAACCCTTCTTGCTCTACCAACCCCATTTCGGGTCCAATTCATCCTTGTTCCGCCGTCATATTTTCCAAAAAAAAACAAATACAGCCCCCAGGGTTTAAAACTCCCAAGCCACTGTGGTACACATTTTCGCAACTTTTATTCGAGGTCTAACGATTCCCACCATCAACTCTCTAAGGGATGTTTGAAGTTAACGTGAAACACCGTGCAGCTTCATTATTGCTCTCAAAAAATGCATGCGAGTTGACGTCTTCTCATTCCCCATCCCATGCTTCCGTACAACCGGTCCAAATAATTGCTATGGTGATATTCAGGTATACACTAAGTTATCACCAACGTACTTGGTAATAACCACAGCCGAACACATCTTTTTGTGTTCTGCGGTCAGGGGCTGGTAGCAAGGGATATCTGACGGATTAATGCGAGCCGATTCTATCAATAACTACCAATAAAGTGGATTTCGCCACCAAAGGACTGCTGCTGAATACAGGTGTTTCGTACACTAACAGAAACTTCAACACCCAGCCCGAAGGTTTTTCACTCCGCAAGACAGACACAAACTTAACTACTGAAATGAAAACCGCAGTGAAGCATCAGTGCCAACACTGTCTTCGATGATGATGATGAGACAATGAAAACGCCCTCCAAGAAGTGGTCGCACGAATGTGGACGAAACCCCGGCATTACATGAGAACCAAACTAATATTCAACGCACATGTTCATTCAAAAGAGCACTGTACATTACCGACAAGTTTAAATCAACACCCGCAACAAGATGAAAAACGAGAAAGAAAAAACTACCATTACAACTCATCACCTCGACTCAAAGTAACAGCGCCAGCATTGTCGTTGGCGTTACCTGAAATGGGAACGACACATCAGCCAAAAGATCACAATTGCTTGCCGAATACATTGTCAAGGACGACACTTTGGTTGTAAATAAATGCACCCAAAGCAACACTAGCAGTCATCGTAAGGAGAACATGTCGTTTCATAAACCAGAAAAATACTCCAAAAGCAAACAAAGATGCTAGATATTTCCCGAACTCCTTCGTATAGGCTACTGTCCATATTATTCTGGACGGCTTATGTGACGCGTCCAATGTCGTTGGACTTTTACGGGACTTACCACTCTGTTTTGCTGTACATCGACCATCACGTCTTTCGAGGTGTGGGTAACACTCGCACACGTATGATCCTGGGGTGTTTCTACAAGTTTCACCATCGCCCTGGCATGGGGAAGGTTTTCGCGAACATTCATCAACGTCCTCACACTTTCCATCGACCAAATGGTAACCTTGGCGGCATCTGGCACAATCATGAGCCGATGGTCCGTGGCAACCATCGCACGAAACTGAGCAACGATGACACTCGTAAGATCCCGCAGTGTTCAAGCAGTATTCTGTCGAACGCTCACATGGGTCGTGTTGACATTCATCCACGTCTTTACAGGCAGCTTGAGATTCTTCTTCCTCAATCCACGTCCATCCTGCAGCACAACCCGTACAGTCAGATGGGTCAGGGCCTCGACAACCCCCCAGACAGGATGCGTGACAGTTCAGGCAGATATCAGCATCTCCATTTTCGGAAGGAAGGCTGTAATGTGTTTTGGAGTTGCATCTATTGCAAGCTTCGCCTACATAACCCTCACGACATATGCACTTCCCGGAGCCACCTCGAGTCCCGTTGCCATCGCACGAACCACCTTGGATGACACAAGGAGAGCAAACATTGCAAGCCGGTCCAAAGTGGCCCGCAGGACAACAATACTTGGCCTCTGTGAGACAAAGATAATCTCCGAACTCGAGTATTTTGCTTTGATTAATCTTGAACACATCATTCCACCAATCATAGATGAGTGGTTCCAACACGCCAAGAATTTCATGACACTTGTAATCAGACTTCACGCAAACACCAGCGATAATATCATCGAATCTTATTTCACTTGTAGCGTAGCTGCCAATATTTCTCTGTTCCCAATGCGTGTTCCCACCACTGAAACCCTTCGTAGCCGTACGGTCCAGGCCTGCGGAAAAAGCACTCACAATCTTCTGGCATTGTTCACAATTATCGCACGCAGATAGTCTGAAGTTGCTGAATAAAATGGTTATGGAGTAGAGGTAAAACGAGGTCAAACCGACCATTCGCCTCTTCTGTGCTAGAGTTAGTGTCTTGCAGCCTGAAACGTTGCGCTAATGGCAGAATGCAGAACCAACCACACCCCTTACCACACGTGTATAAGCCAAGGTCAGTTCGGTGGCTCACGGATTCACGGATTGATACACGGGATTGAAGCCTTGGTCCAAGTTTCCTTGGCCGGTTTTGTTCTTGTTGTTCAGCGGCTGTCATTCACGTGAAATGCACGAGGTAAGAAAGGGTGTAGCACTGCTCTTTAAGTTCTCGGCGCGGGGCAGTATGTTTGCCGGCGCGAGGACTCGCATGAATGTGTGATAGTGTGTGGTGTCTGTAATCTGTTGTCACATTTACCATTTTTCCTGAACTTAACCTACACTTTGTAGCTGTCGTACATATTGTATCGTGACGTTTGTTTTAATGCTACGAATACACAATTTTCCGGTGCGACCTGCTAACTTCTTGCTGAACGAGTGTATTTACGCTCCGTTGAACTGTTTGTTGACTGCTGAACAAGTGGGACTAGATCTCTATGTTTGTGTCGACTGTTGAACGTCACAAGAAATCCCCGTGACATTTTTTAGCCGTTAATAATTTTCCTATCATAGAATATATCACTCATGCGTGAAGCACCCGTGGGAAATTTCGACGAGTAAATATTTCCTTTCACAGCCGGTTACTGCATTTGGATCGCTGTAGTGGACTATCAGATCTACACAATCGTAAGTCCTCATTTGACTACTCATTTTTTCCTTTTGCGATTTGGTACTGGGTACTTTGTTTGGTAATTTATTCGAACACGCCGATAAGGTTCTAGTACGCTACAAGTCGTTAAAACTGGGTCCTAGAAGGATCGTACAAAACAACAGGACGAAAGATATTCCACGCAGATCATACCCGAAGTGAGAAGAAATTTCGCCAACGGAAGTGTGCACACTGAATATGAAAACCTCTTTAACAAGTCCCCGCTGTGGCGTTTTGTATCTTCCATTACAACACTTCCATTATAACATTTCCATTATAACACTACGTATTTCATCAATTGCATAATCGTCTTTTGTTTGAATAGGAAAAACTACAAAAACGCCCACTTGTACGATTTGACAGAATACAAGCGTTGTCACGTGCTTCGACTCTCTCTTCTGATTTCGCTCGCGCTTGTGACGGTCATTTGCGAGTCTCATGTACTAGCTCTGGTACCGAAACATTCCAGAACATCTTAGGATCTATTATATGTGGAAACTGTTCAGAAGACCTCTGGACCAACATATTTGGATTAGTGTTTATTCGCTGACCCGGGCCAACGACGAACTATTTAAAAGAGAACAATTGTTAGTGAGTCTGTTCCATCTGACCTCTTTATTCTTGTATACCCAACCGAGCGTTATTATTTTCATTTCTTTGCCACACACTCCTGGTAAACTAACTTATTGGGTAGCCAGACCACCACAAATTTGGTGAGCCCGAGTATTTCTAGATATTTTTGCTCGAAAGCTTTTCCTTTCAAGTCGTCGTAATTTTGTTTCTTTTGCCCGGTAATTATGAACGCACACTTTGATTCAGCGGATTTAGTCGAGAATGCGATTAGCGTACGTTTACCAGACTACAATCCACGCAACCCCAGGGTATGGTTTCACCAGGTGGAGGTCGATTTACAACCCGACCCATCACTTCCCAAGCCACGCGATTTTCCCATGTTTTCCAGCATCCTCCTTGTGATGTAGCAACGGGAGTGGCAGAAGTATTGGAAGATATTCCCAAGGAAAATCCGTACGACGCCCTTCTAGTGGCCGTGATAAGTAGGACAGGGAAATCAGAAAACAAAATGCTACGGGATCTATTCACCACTGTCGAACTTGAGGACAGATGGCCATCACAACTGCTTCGCCACATGCGTATTCTCCTCTGCGGCCGTAAGCTAGCGGTGGAAATCATGGCCCAACTATGGCTCGACAAACTTCCACCCTCCATGTCCCACGTCATCAGCGCTTTCGTTGATGACCACAGCTTGGAGCAGTTAGCCCAAATGGCGGATAAGATCCACAAAACTTACCCCAGTGACCCCATAAAGTCCGTCTCCCGCCCTTCGCCCACTACTACAGATTCCGACCCGCTTCTTGCTTTTATATCGCACCTACAAGCCAAGTTTGATGCTTTGACCGATCGCCTACAACGGTTGGAGATCAACAGGCATCGACCACGTTCACGATCCAGATCGTTGTCTCGTGCCCGTTCCTCTTGGTGCTGGTATCACCAATCTTATGACCCAAAAGCACGCAAGTGTCAACCACCTCGTTCCATAAAGCCGCGTTCCAACACTCCTTTAAACACCCCGGCTAGTCAGTAACGGCGACAACTGTCTGTGGCGCTCCTCACACTAGTCGCCTGTTCCACATCACCGATCGTTCAAGTGGTCTACGTTTCCTCGTAGATACGGGAGCTGAAGTTAGTGTGCTACCACATAAGAATCCACTTCCCGACTCCGCTTCCTTCCCCTTACAAGCCGCCAACGGTAACCGCATCGCTACATACGGCGAACGTTTCCTCACCCTTGACCTCGGATTGCGACGTGCGTTCAAGTGGATTTTTTGGCCAACGTCCAAAATCCCATCATCTGTGCAGATTTCCTGACCCATTACAATCTATCTGTCGACCTGCGACACAAACGTCTCTTGGACACGCTTACTTCCCTCTCAGTCAACGGAATTAGTACCCCAACTTCATCCACAGGTACCCGAGTTATCTTACCGGATTCACGCTTTGCTGGCATACTTAGGGATTTTCCAACCCTTACTCATGTCAGTACACCCCACCGGTCACTCATTCCGTCGTTCACCACATTCAGACGAGAGGTCCACCTGTCCATGCCAAACCTCGCTGACTTCATCCGGAAAAGCTACAAATGGCAAAACACGAGTTCGAATACATGTTCAAACTCGGCATCATCCGCCCTTCATCGGGTCATTGGTCATCACCCCCACATATGGTACCTAAGAAATCTGAAGGTGATTATAGACCCTGTGGAGATTACAGTTCTCTCAACAACGCTACTGTCCCAGACAGGTATCCCATCCAACATATCCACGAGTTCGCAAGTACCTATGAACACGCAAACATCTTCTCCAAACTCGATCTCGTACGAGCATACTACCATATACTCGCAGCCCCAGATTACATCCCTAAAACAGCCATCACAACACCGTTTGGCCCTTTCGAATTCACGCGTATGCCCTTTGGTCTTCGAAATGCAGCCCAAACGTTTCAACGTTTCATGGACGAGGTTTTACATGGCTTACCGTTTGTGTGTGCCCACCTTGACGATGTTTTAGTCGCTAGCACCTCCTCAACTGAACATGCAGCTCATCTCAGAGCAGTGTTTGAACGTTTTTCCATTTACAACATACGTTTGAACATTGACAAATGCTTATTCGGTGTTACTAGCCCGGATTTTCTTGGCCGCCACATTGACGCCACAGTTATTTTACCATTACCCGATCGCATTTTGGCCCTAGAGTCATTTCCCATACCCACGACTCTCACCCAACTCCGCAGTTTCATAGGTATCATCAACTGCCACCGGCGATTCATCCCCCACTGTACAGATATTTTGAAGCCACTGACCGATTTACTTGGCTCCAAAGAAAAATATGTTACTTTGCCCCCCACCGCCATTGTTGCTTTCGAAAGAGCCAAGTAAGCCACTGCTCAGGCCACAAAGTTATCTTTCCTCGATACTCACGAAAGCGCAAATCTGATTTTGACAACTGGTGCTTCGAACGCTGCCGTCGGCGCCGTGCTTCACCAGGTTGTTAACAACACATCTCAACCACTAGCGTTTTTCTCGCAGAAGATGCAGGCTCCCCAAACGCGTTACAGTACTTTTGGCCGTGAGTTACTCGCAATTCACCTTTCTGTTCGCCATTTCCGGCACTTGCTAGAGGGTAGGTCGTTTACCATTCAAACCGACCATAAGCCACTCACATGCCTTCAACGCCAAGCCTGATCGATATTCACCACGCAAGATACATCGTCTGGACTATATTTCGCAGTTCACTACCGATATTCGGTGCACTCCAGGTTCGAACATTGTCGTCGCAGTTGCCCTATTCCGTCCTGACATTAACTCTCTCCACCCTTCCACGCAGCTGGACCTAGCCAAGCTGGCTAACCTCCAAAATAGTGATCCTGATTTTTTACCCATTCTATACTTCCCTTCATTTCAAGTCTCTTCATTTCCCTTATTCCTCCAATCCGGAACCATTTTTTGTGATAGTTCTACCGCCTCAGTTCGCCCAGTCGTCCCCGAAGCCTTTCGACGCGTTGTTTTCGACCACTCTCATGGATTTTCTCATCCAGGAATCAGAGCAACCTGGAAGTTGATTAGTGCACGCATTGTATGGCCCTTCTTGAATAAGGACCTAACATCTTGGGCCAAACAGTGCATCGCCTGTCAACGTAGTAAAGTAAGTCGGCATACGAACTCACCTATCGGTTCATTTGCCGTTCCTGATGCTCGATTCACACACGTTCATCTTGATATTGTTGGCCAACCTTCCTCATCAAACGGTCTCACGCATATTCTTACCATGATCGATCGTTTTACTCGATCGGGCATATGTTGCATCTCCAAAGGCCATTTCGATTCTAGAATGTTGAGGAAATCTGTTCCGGTGGAAAAATACCTGAAAGTTACGTTCATTGTATGTGAGTCAACCTCTTCCACAAACGATTTTTTATCATCCGTTAAGGTATTCAAAGTCGGCGGTGTTTTTTCACCTGGGGGTTTAGTTCGCTTAAAAAAATTGCCATAGTAAAGGATTTTCAATAATACAGGAGCATATACATTATACATAGACATTCTACACTATGAAGTGGCAAGTCTGAAAATGCCGTAGATTTCGAGAAATCAATCTCACTGTGCGAATAGCCAGCGGCACACTTTCGCGTGGAATTTTGTCCCCAATTAGTAGACCAGTTATGGCTAATTAATTCTAATAATTGTAGGTTTACT